AAAAAAAAAAAAAAAAAAAAAAAAAACTTTGAAATCAGATTTGGGTTCATATTCTAGCTCTGCCATTCATATGCTGTGAGAGATTTAGTTAATTACTCCCTAAGTTTTTCCTTCTAAAATAAAAATGGGATGAAACTAGCATCTAAAGTGTGGCCTGGATTCTAAACCCAGCTCTTGCATTCTTTGGCTATGTGACTCTGGGCAAGTTACTTAATCCCACTATGTTTAAATTTCCTATCTATGAAATGGCAATTACAGTATCAACCTTGTAAGAGTGTTTACAGGGTTAAACGGAAACATGTAAAGTCCCTGGAACACAGTAAGTGCTCAGTAAGCACCAGCGTTATCATGACTACCACCTGTGCTCCTACCACTACCACCAGCTCCTCCCACCTCAGCAAACTGTTACAGTGAAATGAGACAACACATTTTAAAAGTTTAGCATGGTTTTGGTACTTATTATTATTTCCATAACTGAAGGCTATTATTTTTAAAAGATATTATCTCAGTTAATTATCTTAAAAAAAAAAACCCACCCTCAATCCCTCCCTCCCCCCCTCACCCGCCCCCCCCATTGGGTAAAAAAAAAAAAAAAAACCCTGAAATGTAGGAGCCATTATTATGACTCCTACTCTATAGAGATGAAGCCAAGACTCAGAAATTAAATAACTCACTCAAGGTCACACAGTAAGAAGTCTGAATGAAGCGGAAAGTAACTATGGATTTGCAGAAAATGAGACTGGATTGGATGAATAAACACTGGTATGGCCGGGCGCGGTGGCTCAAGCCTGTAATCCCAGCACTTTGGGAGGCTGAGGCGGGTGGATCACGAGGTCAAGAGATCGAGACCATCTTGGTCAACATGGTGAAACCCCGTCTCTACTAAAAATACAAAAAATTAGCTGGGCATGGTGGCGTGTGCCTGTAATCCCAGCGACTCAGGAGGCTGAGGCAGGAGAATTGCCTGAACCCGGGAGGCGGAGGTTGCGGTGAGCCGAGATCGCGCCATTGCACTCCAGCCTGGGCAACAAGAGCAAAACTCCGTCTCAAAAAAAAAAAACACTGGTAATGGAGAATCCTAAAAAAATCAGGTAGATGGGTCTGCACTTGACATAACATGCAACAAAGACCCCTGTAGGTTCTTAAACCAGGAGTGGGGCGAGATGATGAAAACGATAACTCAAGATTTCAGAAGCATGGGCCAAACAGATAGGTGATTTCCCAGTCAATAAATAAAGCAAAACTAACAGTGGTTAACACAGGGATCGACCTAGGCCTTAGGTCATCAGCACAGTGACATCAGCATTGTAATCATATCAGCTTTGTGAAGCTAACCAAATGCTACCAGTGAGTCAAGGTACAATTTCACAAAAGTGCTGCTTTGACCAAATGACCACAAACACACTCAAGTCACAAAGATTATCATATCTGAAAGGAACTTAACACAGGAAGGACAATGCATAATTAGTGCATGTGACACAGTTCATTCAAAATTGATAATGACAAATCAAACCACATGTCATTTTGCCTACTTAATCAGGAAATCTTCCTCCTATCTTTGCTTGAAATTGAGTTATAACTCCCTGTGCTTTCCAAAATATGAGGCATTAAGACATCTCTTTCTGGAATAGCTGACTGGGAAAAAAAATGTTACTTTTCTTCAGGGCCAATGGATCCATCCCAAGTGCACTGTTACAACTTCATTTCCAAATCATGGCCCCTTCTCTGTCATTCACAATATTCCACGCCCTGGGAAATTTGTCCTTGGCCCTTCCAAGTTACTACCCCACTAAACAAGTCAATATTGTAACTCAAGAATACAAAAAACATCCTCTGCCTCTTCTAGAACAAATATAAAGGAGAAGGAAAACTCTCTCTCTCATCTATGTTTCAATCAGTCTGTGTTTTGGGATCAAGAGAACAATCGATGTTTAGACAGGTACTGCATTTTACAGACTCTGGCTGACAAAAGCTGATTTATTCATTGATTTTATTTTATTAGGAAGATTAAATTTTTTTAAACCCAGCTAAATACTCACAGAATAAATGACAATGTATGCTAGGCCTTTATTTAATAAAATGTCCAGAGGTAACTTATCTACCTTTTATGAAGTCCTAAACGAGCTGCATATATTAGGAAAAATTTTTTTTTTTTTTTTTTTTTTTTTTGAGACGGAGTTTCACTCATGTTACCCAGGCTGGAGTGCAATGGCGATATCTCGGCTCACAGCAACCTCCGCCTCCTGGGTTCAGGCAATTCTCCTGCCTCAGCCTCCTTAGTAGCTGGGATTACAGGCACGCGCCACCATGCCCAGCTAATTTTTTGTATTTTTAGTAGAGACGGGGTTTCACCATGTTGACCAGGATGGTCTCGATCTCTTGACCTCGTGATCCACCCGCCTCAGCCTCCCAAAGTGCTGGGATTACAGGCTTGAGCCACCGTGCCCGGTCCAGGAAAATTTTTTAAAGGCAGTTTTTATCCTCAAGAAGTTACTGTAACCAATCAAACACCGCATGTTCTTACTCACAGGCAGGTGCTTAACAATGAGAACACATGGACACAGGGAGGGGAGCATCACACACTGGGGTCTGTTGCGGGGGGGCCAAGGGAGGGACAGCAGGGGGATGGGGAGGTCGGGGAGGGATAACATGGGGAGAAATGCCAGATGTAGGTGATGGGGAGGATGGAGGCAGCAAACCATACTGCCATGTGTGTACCTATGCAATAATCCTACATGATCTGCACATGTACTCCCAGAACCTAAAGTACAATTAAAAAAACAAAAAAAAAGGCTGGGCGCGGTGGCTCACACCTGTAATCCCAGCATTTTGGGAAGCTGAGGCAGGTGGATCATGAGGTCAAGTGATCGAGACCATCCTGGTCAACATGGTGAAACCCTGACTCTACTATAAATACAAAAAAAATTAGCTAGGCATGGTGGCACATGCCTGTAATCCCAGCTACTCAGGAGTCTGAGGCAGGAGAATTGCCTGAACCCAGGAGGTGGAGGTTGCGGTGAGCCGAGATGGCACCATTGCACTCCAGCCTGGGTAACAAGAGCGAAACTCCGTCTTAAAAAAAAAAAAAAAAAAAAAAGTTACTGTAACCACCATTAAATGACAGGTTGTTGGCAAAAGGATATAGTCAAACCAGACAGACATCAACTTAATCACATTATCCAATTTCACAGCACCAATAATGATGTGATGCACTGAGAAAAACACATCCCTCAGAGCAATCCTGCCCCAAGATGTCTAATTCTAATCTAGTCATGAGGACAAATTGAGGAATACTCTTCAAAACAACTGGGTTAGATTTAGACTCTTCAAATATCAATATCACCTGTCACAGTGCCAATGTCACAAAAAGAAGCTAAGGAAACTCCAGAGGACAGGAAAATAAAGAAACACGACAACTAAATGCAATGTGCTATTCTTCACTGGATCCTGAATTGGGAGGAAAAAGAACACTATTAGAACAAATGGTTTCTTCCCATCTTTGTGGATTTATCTACCTGTTGTCTTTATTATAGTTGCTGACTTTCAGATTGGGTCTCTGAGTGGACGTCCAATTTGTTGATAATGAAGTTATTGCTGTTTCTTAGTTTTCCTTCTAACAGTCTGGCCCCTCTGCTGTAGGACTGCCGAGGTCCACTCCTGGCCCTGCTTGCCTGGGGATCACCTGCAGCCACTGCAGAACATTAAGAGTTGCTACCAGTTTCTTCTTCTGCTATCTTTGTCCCAGAAGGATACCCACCAAATGTTGGTCTGAGCTCTCCTTTATGAGGTGACTCTCTGGGTGTAAATCCACAAAGATGGGAAGAAACCAGCGCAAAAAGGCTGAAAACACCCAAAACCAGAATACCTCTCCTCCTCAAAGGGATCACAACTCCACATCAGAAAGGGAACAAGACCTGATGGAGAATGAGTGTGATGAATTGACAGAATCAGGCTTCAGAAGGTGGCTAATAAGAAACTTCTGTGAGCTAAAAGAACATGTTCTAACCCAATGCAAAGAAACTAAGAACGTTGAAAAAAGATTTGATGAAATGCTAATGAGAACAGACAACTTAGAGAGGAATATAAATGAATTGATCAAGCTAAAAAACACAACACGAGAACATCGCGAAGCATACACAAGTTTCAACAGCTGAATTGACCAAGCAGAAGAAAGGATATCAGAGGTCGAAGATCAACTCAGTGAAATAAAACAAGAAGGCAAGATTAGAGAAAAAAGGGTAAAAAGGAATGAACAAAGTCTCCAAGAAATATGGGACTATGTGAAAAGACCTAATCTACATTTGATAGGTGTACCTGAATATGACGGAGAGAATGAATCCAGGCTGGAAAATACTCTTCAGGATATTATCCAGGAAAACTTCCCCAACCTAGCAAGGCAGGCCAATCTTCAAGTCCAGGAAATACAGAGAACACCACAAAGATATTCCTCAAGAAGAGCAACCCCAAGGCACATAATCGTCAGATTCACCAGGGTTGAAATGAAGGAGAAAATGCTAAGGGCAGCCAGAGAGAAAGGTTGGGTTACCCACAAAGGGAAGCCCATCAGACTCACAGCAGATCTCTCAGCAGAAACCCTACAAGACAGAAAAGAGTGGGGGCTAATATGCAACATCCTTAAAGAAAAGAACTTTCAACCCAGAATTTCATATCCAGCCAAATTAAGCTTCATAAGTGAAGGAAAAATAAAATCCTTTGTGAACAAGCAAGTACTTAGAGATTTCATCACCACCAGGCCTGCTTTACTAGAGCTCCTGAAAGAAGCAACTACACATAGAGAGGAACAACCAGTGCCAGCCATTCTAGGAACATGCCAGAGGGTAAAGAGCATCAACATGGTGGAGAATCTGCATCAAGTGATGGGCAAAACAGCCAGCTAGCTTTGAATGGCAGTATCAAATACACACATATCAATGTTGACCCTAGATGTAGATGGACTAAATGTCCCAATCAAAAGACAAAGATTGGCAAATTGGATAAAAGGTGGCCCCATTCTTAAAAGGCTTCCAGCTTAGTTGGGGAGATAGCAAATGTGGTCAGGTAATTTTTAAATCAAAACTAGAGAAATTTGTAACTGTAACATGGAATGAGAAAATTGGACTTTGAATGCTTTAGGACTAAATGTTATAGTCTTAGAAAATTCCTCTTTTCCCACTGAAGATTAGCCATGAATTCTGATGTGAAAGAACTCATGACTTTAGCTAAGGCATCCTATTGTCTAGCAGAAGTTTCTGCAATAAAGGAAATGTTTGAAAATCTGTGCCATCCAATAAGATAGCCACTAATTGGCCGGGCGCGGTGGCTCAAGCCTGTAATCCCAGCACTTTGGGAGGCCGAGGCGGGTGGATCATGAGGTCAAGTGATCGAGACCATCCTGGTCAACATGGTGAAACCCCGTCTCTATACTAAAGCTACAAAAAATTAGCTGGGCATGGTGGTGCGTGCCTGTAATCCCAGCTACTCAGGAGGCTGAGGCAGGAGAATTGCTTGAACCCAGGAGGCGGAGGTTGCGGTGAGCCGAGATCGCGCCATTGCACTCCAGCCTGGGTAACAAGAGCGAAACTCCGTCTCAAAAAAAAAAAAAAAAAAAAGATAGCCACTAATTATGAGTTTTAGTGACCTTTGAGTCTCTGAAACGTGATTAGTACAACTGAGAAATTAAACATTTAATTTAATTTATATCAAATTAAAATAATGACAAAAAAAGATACTCAGCATCATAGCTCATTAGGGAAGTGCAAAATAAAATCCAATTAAGACACTACTATGCACCTTTTAGAATTGCTAAAATAAAACAACTGATAATACAACATGCTGGCGAATATATGGGACAACTCGAGCAAAACTCATGTTTCCGGTTGGAACACAAAACAAGATAGTCACTTTAGGGAACAGTTTTCAAAAAGAAAAGAAAATGAAATTTTTATTTTAGATTAGTCTGGCACGGAACTGCATGCCTGTAGTCTCAGATACTTGGTAGGGTAGCCTGAGGAGGAAGGGTGCTTGAGGTGAGGAGTTTGAGGCTGCACTGAGCTATGATTTTATCACTGCATTCCAGCCTGGGCAATAGAGCAAGACTCCCGTTCTCTCTCCCTCTTTCTCTCTCTCTTTCTTTCTGTTCTTTCTTTCTTTCTCTCTTTTCTTTTCCTTCTTTCTCCTTTTTTTCCTACCTTCCTTTCTTCTTTTCTTGAAAAAAAAAAAAAAGAAAGAAAAGAAAGTTTACGAATTTGTGTTGAGCTGCATTCAAAGCCGTTCTGGGCTACAGGCTACGGGTTAGACAAGCTTGCTATAGTCCCCTCATGTGTGTTGGTAGACAGTGGCGGCAGGGATCATTCCCGGAAATGATCCAAAGTAGCTGTAGACAAGAAATATTAACGGTGTTTCCAGCCTTTTCTTTTTATTTTTTATTTTTGCTTTTTTACTTTTTTTGCTTTTCTTTATTTTTATTTTTAAATAAAGCCTACAGCACCCGGTATTCTCAGTGGTCTCCCATCCAACTACTAACCAGGCCCGACCCTGCTTAGCTTCTGAGATCAGACGAGCTCAGGTGTATTCAGGGTGGTATAGCTGTAGACTTCCAGCCTTTTCTCTTTCCCATTGCCCCATAAAGATTTTGACTTTACCTACCCCAAACCTTAGGGGAAAAAAAAAAAAAAAAGAACAACTGAAGAAATGTGAGTTCACGTTGTATCTTAATTAAGAGTAGACATAGACCAGGTGCGGTGGCTCGTGCCTATAATCCCAGCATTTTGGGAGGATGAGGCAGGTGGATCACGAGATCAGGAGTTCAAGGCCAGCCTCACCAACATAGTGAAATTCCGTCTCTACTAAAAATAAAAAAATTAGCCAGACCTGGTGGCGTGCACCTGTAATCCCAGCTACTTGTGAGGCTGAGACAACAGAATCCCTTGAACCCGGGAGGCGGAGGTTGCAGTGAGCTGAGATTGTGCCACTATACTTCCGGGTGACAGAATGAGACTCTGTCTCAAAAAAAAAAAAAAAGGGTAGATATATCAGCGCTAAGTTTCCTGAGTGTGATAATGTGATTGTAGCTACAACTGTCTAATGGTTCAGTAAAATAAGTACGTGGACCTGCGCATGGAGAGAAAGCTCATGCCTGTGAAAAAGAAATAAGGCAATGCCAGGCAAGGTGGCTCACACCTGTTATCCCGGCTACTCTGGACACTGAGATGGGAGGATCACTTTGGCCCGGAGTTTAAATCCAGCCTTGGCTCAAGTGTCTCTAATCAAAAAAGAAACGAAGGGAAGGAAGGAGAGAGGGAGGGATGGAGGGATGGAGGGAGGGAGAGAGGGAAAAGAAAAGAGAAAAAGGCAGCAAATATCTGATCAAAATGGGACTCTAGGTAACAGGTATACAGGTATTTGTGGCACTCTTTTTGCAGCTGTTTCATAGGTTTAAAATTTTTCATGCTAAGAAGTTATGGAATATGAAAATGTATAACTAAAATAAAGAATGACATAAGGTTTAAAAAAAAAACTTGCTGTAACTTACAATTGGGGAAAGTAAAACACACTTTCCCCAAAAGCTATTTGTTGGTTTTTTGGTTTTTGTTTTTGTTTTTTTTTTTTGAGACAAAGTTTCGCTCGTTGCCCAGGCCAGAGTGCAATAGCACAATCTCCGCTCACGGCAACCTCCACCTCCCAGGTTCAGGCAATTCTCCTGCCTCAGCCTTCCAAGCTGCTGAGATTACAGGCATGCGGCACCACACCTGGCTAATTTTGTCTTTTTAATAGACATGGGGTTTCTCCATGTTAGTTAGGCTAGTCTCGAACTCCCAACCTCAGGAGATCCGCCTGCCTTGGCCTCCCACAGTGCTGGGATTACAGGCGTGAGCCACTGCGCCCAGCCTCCAAAAGTTTTCAGAGCTACTAAAACTTAATGGACATATCAAAGAATTATAAAGGTACAAGCTGATCTCTACAGAGCAGGAACTGTCTGTTTTACAGCTAACACTTTAGTATTATGTGATACATTCACACATGCAATCAGACTTCTAGAAACTGCTTACCTATACAAAAGTTCACATCCTCTTGCAGGACTTAGAATAGTACTCATTCACATGTAATTAAAGCAAATACTCCAAGTGCATTTTAAAGACCATCTAAATCTATACTACAGGCAAGCAGTTACTTAATTTCCTTAAGCAATGAATTAGACAACTAAAGTTGACTTTCTATTTGACACTTAACTCGTAAAATTTGCTTAACTTGGTGAATCAATTAAATGGATGTAAACAACTACTTTGGGAAACTGAATTCTGAATAAACAGAACAAAATGATCTCTTGGTGGACTTTCCTTAGAAGCACACACATACAAAAAGGCCCATGCAAACAGTACCTATTAATTGCCACACAGTTAACGCAGGCAATGACGAAAAGAATTGCTCAAATTCTCCTATTCCCAACCTATGCCATCAAGCCAAAACTAAACTCTGGAAAAAGCAAAGTGGGCAGCTTCTCAAGTCAATGAACAAATTAATCTGTAGCATTCTCTTGGGACCTAGCAACTGATATCCTCTTTCCAGTCCTGTTACTGGGTTGTTATAGTACCTATTACCCACCCTTTCTAAGTATCAGTATTTCCAGCTTTAAAAGGAAAAAAACTCTGACACCACCTCAAAAAGATGGTACAGAGAATAATGTCCATTTTCCTAATTATATATGTTATGTTTAAGAATGGACATAAACCTTTCCAGCCATATCAATGGTCATTTATAGACAAAGTTACCCAAATAGCAAATATCTTATATATAAAAATACCTAACTTTGCTATACAAATATTTTGATTTATTTTTTTTTTTTGCGACGGAGTCTCACTCTTGTTACCCAGGCTGGAGTGCAATGGCGCAATCTCGGCTCACCGCAGCCTCCGCCTCCTGGGTTCAGGCAATTCTGCCTCAGCCTCCTGAGTAGCTGGGATTACAGGCACGTGCCACAATGCCCAGCTAATGTTTTGTATTTTTAGTAGAGACGGGGTTTCACCATGTTGTCCAGGATGGTCTCGATCTCTTGACCTCGTGATCCACCCGCCTCGGCCTCCCAAAGTGCTGGGATTACAGGCTTGAGCCACCGCGCCCAGCCTATACAAATATTTTGTATGGTGGCACACAACTGTAGTCCCAGCTACTCAGGAGGCTGAGGCAGAAGAACTGCTTGAACCTCGAGGTAGAGGTTGCAGTGAGCTGAGATAGCACCACTGCACTCCAGCCTAGGTGATGAGGTGAGACTCCATCTCGGGAAAAAAAAAATTGTATCTTTTTACTTGAAGAAAATGTATTTCCAAGTAATGGTCAAGAAATTTTCATTTTTAAATTGTCAGTCAAATAAGAATAAATATTACTCCCCTTTAATTTCTGTGCTAGGCGCGGTGGCTCACACCTGTAATAGCAACACTTTGGGAGGCCAAGGTGGGTGGATCACCTGAGGTCAGGAGTTCAAAACCAGCCTGGCCAACATGGTGAAACCCTGTCTCTACTAAAAATACAAAAATTGTCGGGCGCAGTGGCTCACGCCTGTAATTCTAGCACCTTGGGAGGCCGAGGTAAGTGGATCGCCTGAGGTCAGGAGTTCAAGACCAGCCTGGCCATCATGGTGAAACCCCATTTAAAAAAAAAAAAAAAGGAAAAAAAAATATTAGCCAGACAGCTACACAGGAGGCTGAAGGAGAATAGCTTGAAACCAGGAGGCAGAGGTCTCGGTGAGCTATCGCATCACTGCACTGCAGCCTGGGTGACAAGAGCAAAACTCCATCTAAAACAAAAATGAAAGTTCTGGTACGATCATTATTATTGGTATATTATGTATGATTTACTTAGTTCATATGTATTATTTAATTAGCAGGTATTTACTCAATTAGAATTTTTTTTCTTTTTTTTTTTTTTAAAGATGGGGTTTCACCATGATAGCCAGGCTGGTCTTGAACTCCTGACCTCAGGTGATCCACCCACCTCGGCCTCCCAAAGTGCTAGGATTACAGGTGTGAGCCACGATGCCTGGCCTCAGGGGAGTTGTTCATTGTGCCTCCTCACTTCAGGTTCTGGGAGTACCTAACAGGCATACAATATACAGTCGTCCCTTGGTATTACATTAAGGTTGGTCCCTGGACCCCCACAAACACCAAAATCCGAACATGCTTGTCTCCCAGAGAGCCTTGCAGAACCAGCAGATACGAAGTCAGCTCTCCATATACGTGGGTATATTCTCATCCCTCAAATACTATACTTTCATTCTCTGCATTTGGTTGCAGATGTGGAACCTGCAGATACAGAGGGCTAACTGTATTTATTTTTTAAAATCTACATCTAAGTGGATCCATGAAGCTTGAGGCCACATTTTTCAAGGGTCAACTGTATCTGTAACTCAAGGTTCTGCTGAAGATCCTAAGGAGCAGACTTCCAAAGGTCATGACTCCTGTTGAAGACCAGGTAAGGGCCAGAAGTTAGGCTTCCAGACTTTCCACTCCAGGGCATTTCCACTCCCAAATCACACGCCTATTTCAGGAAAGCTCATTTTCCCATGAATTACTAGCTGCAAAATTCTTGATTGGTTACAGGAAGTCACGGACTCCTTGGCAGAAGTGGACAGGCTGTTACAAGAACAAAGCCCCTTGATTCAAACAATTTCACTTTGGAAAATCAGAAAATATCCATGCTTAGCAACTAGGATGCTGGATAATTAATTTATACAGTCCGCCCTCCTTAGCTTCAGGTTGTTCCACATCCTTAGATTCAAAACATGCAAAAATAATTTTAAGAAAATGTTACATTATTGCTGACATGTACTATGTAGTTAGGCCTAGGATGGCTGCCTCTGTACTGAACATGTATAGACTGCTTTTTGTCATTATTCCCTAAATAACACAGTACAACTATTTACACAGCATTTACAATGCATCAGGTATTATAAGTTTGTTGAGAATCAAACTGTTTTTCCTCTGCTCTCACCCAACAACAATCAACACAGAAGACTCTGTGACCAGATATGTGGGGATTTCTCTCTACCATTAAGAAAGCAATCAATTCTGCAGCCAATACCAGCTGGGTATCTTTCGATCCAATTCAACTAGGGCACTAACTACCTGGAGGTAGTGTCAGATTCCACAGATTGAGGGCTCAGTCCCACAAGACTGCCCGTACTTCAGACAGCAGTCACAGGTCAGGGCCTCCAGAACTTCTCAATGACTAGCTTCAAGTTGCAGTTCCCAGGACCTCCTCTTTAGGCTTCATTAATTTGCTAGAGTGACTCACAAAACACTTAACTTACGTTTACTGGTTTATTATAAAGGATATTACCAAGGATATCGATGAAGCGGTGCATGGGGTGAGGTAGGGAGAGGGGCTGAAGAGCTCTATGCCCTCCCCAGGTGTACCACCTTCCAGAAACTTCCTCACGTTAGGCTATCCAGAAGCTCTCTTGGGGGGTTTTGTAGAGACTTCATTGGAGACATGATTGAAGCAAGGACAACCTCACAGTAATTGACTAGACAAAGAGTGTAATCTAATACTAACAGACTGAGTGCAGAAACCCAGCAAGGTCTGTCCAGATTCTCCCTGG